AGATAGAAGATGATTAGCCATATTCTCAACAAAAGCAGGTCGAGGAGGTAATTCACGCTTATCTAGGTCCAGAATCCACTTGACAAGCGTTTCCTCTTCATTTTTCGGTCAATTTATGAGAATTTGCACGTTTATTGACTCTTGCAGTACGCCCATGAAGCCTGTCGGAGAGAGTAGAACGCGGGACATCAAACAAATCAACAGCTTCACGAATTGAAGAAATTTGGCCGTTATTTATGGCAAAAATTGCAAGTTGGAGCCTGCCCCCTTGCTCAATTAATTTTTTTTGACTTTTCAGTGCGAATTTGTGGCATAATCGCGTGTTGAATAGCTTCAATTTCTATATAGGAGACGCGTTCGGAGGTGGTGTCCGGCTCGGTGGTGTGTCCGGCTCGGGGGTGGATTACGTTAACTAGTTAACTATCACCGCGAGAACTGTACCCGAGCTGTTGGGATTTTGTCACTGAGAACAATCGTTTATCTGATTTGAGTTCTTCCTCATTTTATTCTACACTCGATTACGGTGGCCCGAAACCTAACGACAGATGTATCGTCATTCGAGATGCGATATCCAAAATGACCGCAGTTCTTGGGAATTTCATTCGACGCAACGCAATTAGCGACCTCGGGAGACTTCTCCAAATTAGTTAGAACAAGCCAAACACGTGCGAACTGTGATGGTTTTGTCCGACGAGTCAAGAATATATTACCATCCATCTTTTGATACAATTCGGCCCTTAGAATAAATAACGAGCATCCTGGTCCTTCAATCATTGCCCGACCGCCCATGGATCGCAATCTCACCAGCGTCTTAGGTGGGCGAGTCTTCAGCAGCGTTCAGCCAATCGCTGCAGATCACGATGCCACTGGGGGATCCTTGCTGCCACGTGATTGGCGGCGGCAGGATGCAGATCTGCGTTTGCGGTTTCATCGGAGTCTCCTGCAACCAGATCGAGCAGCATCGCCAGAAAGGCCCCATCGCGAGCCCTGGTTGTGGGCCACGCCGTGATCCAGGAACCATATCGCAGCGGATCCCGCTAAGAGCTTCCACTGCAGGAAAATAATATGCAATGTTCCGCAGTTTGGTACAAAGCTGAACCAAAAATGGCAAAAAAAGGGCCAAAGAAAGGAGCACGGATTCTCCTAATGTGCGATCTCCCAGACCTCCTGCGTTTCCACGTCTCAAGCTGAAGGGATCGTCATGCATAGCCAACGTGTTTCAGCTTCATGACCTTGAAGTGGCGCTTTCTTGCATCTCACAATGCGAGCTTATGCTCAATTAGCCTTGTCCCGACTCGCCAAGGCACTAGATCGTGCAATTTCCCTTACGTGCCAATCATCTAATCTCGTCCCATCGCTAAGGCCCAGCTGCGAAGGTTGATCTGGTGGGACTTTACGAGATTAGATGAGCTGGATAGCGTTAATGCCGGCGCCTTATAGTTCCTCCTCTGCTTCTTTTGATAGGCACGCCGGGAATCCAGGAATTACAAATAAATAGCCGTCTCTGAGACGAGCAAACCTTGGGCTGAGGGGTCGTCTCCTCACCTTTGACAACAGATCTCTTATTTAACCTTTGGGGCCATCTCATCACAACCCAGAGTACTAACGACACGGAACCCCGAGATTCTTGCTGGGCTGTTGCGCACAGTGTAGCAGCAGCCCAAGACTACGACCTCTCCAGCCGATTTCTTCCAACCCGAGATTGCCGCCAACCAACATGGCAGCAGTTCAGGGCCTACGTCGTCCGGGAGCGTCACTACTCACCAAGTCCAAAGGCCTCCCATCGAGGCCAGATGAAGCTATCCCACCAAGAAAGGCAGTAAATCCTGCAGAGACTGCTAGCGCAGTACCTCCGTCTTCTAGCCTCCCGTCCAATGGTTACCGGTCGCCCGGCGTGGAAGAGAAAAGCCTGGATGCAAAACCATTGCCTACTCCCCCCGAATTAAACACCGTCAGGCAACCACCGCGAACGTCGTCGCTGAGTCGGCGAGACGAAGAGGGCCCTCGACAGATTCCTGCCAGTGTGCCTCGATTTTCGAACCCGGGCTTCCAGATTTCACCGGCCAGTGAGGAAGTACCGCTGGACGAGTTCATCCCAGAGCCAGAACCGGAACCTGAACTAGAACCAGAAAGACAGCCATCGCCGCAAGAACCTTCCAGACTTCCAAACGGCACACCGGTCGAAGGCGACGAAGGCAATGAGGTTAATGACCCCAACGCGCCCTATGTTCCTCCACTGCCTGAGCCTATGATCATACCCCCCTTGACCAGGGTTCACTACTCCTGTTACCAGTCGCACCGTTCCATGCCCGTGTCGAACAATTTCTGGTACGCGGTGGCTTGCATGACTTGCCACAAAGTCGATCGGGAAATTCGCCATCGCTGCACATTTTGCTGTCTGCGGATCTGCAGCAGTTGTTTCCAATTGCTTCAGAAATGCAAAGACCGCTCGCTGGCTGAGCTTATGTCACAAATCAAGACCTCATGATCATGCGCGTGACACATGCCATCTGTTGATTTATCCTAGTCAACTCGATATGTTTACTTTCTTGATCCGTTCTCAATGGAACATTACCTGAGCACGTCGAGGTGCATTGCTCCTCAGAAGACTACGGAAGGATCGGATATTAGTCCGGATTGCGCAACTTCTTCTTGATGTCAGGGTAATCCTAACGCTCGGGGGTTCTTCGGCTCGTGTGCACACTACGGAAACCAGGCAGGATCTCAGGTCAGGTCCTGTGTTTACGCCCACCAGGACGACACATGTACGGGAGCATCTATCGATCAGAGTGGCAACTTATTCCAAGGACGCTACACTCTAATACCAGATGGTATTGCGCTTGCATGTGATATGCACGACACAGCGGTCAGGGCCCGGTCCCTGTGCTCGGTGTACGATAAGAGAAGAGCTGGAGTCGACCCGCTGTCTCGCATATTATTTGCATATACCCAACATATGCATGCACACGTACAAACATACATGCGCTGGCATTATTTCGGATTATCTTTCTTTTTCTGGAATTTGTCCTACACTATATGGATATGGATTTGTATATAACAACCTGGTTGTACGTGTACATACATACGCGGCAGGATGTGTATGGACATGATGTGTTTAGTTTCGGTGATACCCAGGCTAGCAAAAAAAATGAATAAATTATTAAAAAAAAAAAGAATAAGGAGGGGTAAAAAAAAATGAAAAGAGGTAGTAGGTAACGCTGGGACGATTAATCTGTTCCCAATTGGATAATGTTTCCCTCGTACTAGTCCTGCATGCAGGTGATCATCAGCCAGCCAGCCACCAGCCAGTGACCGACTGACGTGTCTCTCTTAGAATTTAAAAGCTGCATGCGATTCTTGGTCATTTATTTATTATTATAGAATAATTAGTACATTATTCAGCAGGATCAGAACATATATATTTTTGCCAGACTGTCGAGCCGTACATAAATATTAAGGCCGCTGGAGAAAGAAAAATAGTAAAAGAGAGAAAAAAAAAAGAAAGCCTCTCTGTGCTAGTAATATACTCAATACATACTAAATAATTTAAAGTGCATATATGTGCGCGCATACAAAAATGGACTTTACTTACTGTCTTCCTAGTACAGTACAACTGGTCGATGATCATTTACCAGATGTGGTGTGATTATTTGATTCGATTTGATTTGGGTGAGCAAGAATAATGAAGGATGAAGGAGCAAGTATTACTCCGAAGTAGGTTAATATCCTTATCCTTATCCTTATCCTTATACCCTTTCTCTCTCTTTTTTTTTTCACTGAGAGTTGATGTTCTTGGTGATTAGGGTATGACCAACTAAACTATGTACTCTGTATGCATATAGAGGTTAAGTGACATGGAAAGGATGGCAATGGAAGTGATTTCCAAGATCTATCTGTATGGAGTAGAAGTTGCGTTTTGTCGATTCAGGCCAGGGAAAACTGTGTTGATCTCTACAGAATAGTATACTGGTCTTGTGAGCAGGAAAGACATTCTAAGGAGAGATTGCTAGTAATTAATGATACATTGATTCATGTGCATCATTCATAGACCATCCTGATGCTAATCTACATAATGTATGTACATGTATGTACTGTACTGTACTGTACTGTACTGTACTGTGTGAATCTTCATTAGCATGCTCTTTCTATACCTGCAGTCAGTAAGAAGCCCAACAAGCTTGTTGCTCATCATACAAGAATGCCACCCTCCCGAACGCCAAGGCCCAATGCCATTTGATCTAATCAGAAAAAGAAAGAAAATGTAACGTGTCTAATCATGATCCTCCTCTGTCACTCCAGGACAGCCCTCCAGGTCGTCCGTCTCGTAGCGGTATTTGCACCAGAAGCAATACCGGTGCTTCTCGCGCAGGTACATCACCAGCCTCCGAAGCCGCTCCTTCGCGTCTAGGGCGTTGAACTCGTCCAATTCCGGATCCTCTTCTTCGAGTTCCTGCTCGACAAACGAGGTGTCCTGTGGATCGAGCCCGATAGCGCGCTTGTCGTCACGATCGAGAGTGGCATCTTCATAGCCTGGCAACCGTGGATTTGGAAAGAATGACGATGGTAATGAGTTCTCCAAAGCCTGTCGACTCCGTAAAGCACGTTCCCTCTCCTCACGTTCTCGGACAAGGCCGCGATAAAGAACGTTGATTTTCGATGTTGGTTTGATCTTGGGTCTTTTGGCAGATGGCTTCTCTCCAGCATTGGGGTCAGTATCCCGGCTGCCTTCCGTCTCTTCCACCTTGTCATTCTCCTCTTCCGCCTCTGCATCCAGTTTCTCTGCGACCTGCTGCGCCGCGCGGACCTGTGCTTCCGTTCTTCGTTCTTCGCGCTCCAGCCTCATCCGCTCTCTGTACTCTCCCTCTTCTGCCTTCGTCTTCTTGGCCACTTGCTCGGCTTCTTCTCTAAACTTGCGCTTCCTCTCGCCATCCAGTCCAATTCCCGCCCGATCTTCCTTCACGACCAGGCGCAACGGTTCCGCACGGGATTGAACCCAGTCACTGGCGGTCGCTGATAAATCTCCTTGAGACGAAGAATCGTCATATGTCTGTTTCCCAAGACGGTCTCCCGGCTTGAACCCCAGCTTAGCCATCATCTTGAAGCCCTTGTTCGACGGGTCGAGGACGCTCGAGGAGAGCGCATTTTCGCGACGGGCAGCTTCCTCGGCTGCGCGTTCGGCTTTCGACGGGACTCTGGCTCTAGCTTCTGCCTGTGCATATACAATCGAGTTAGCTGCGCGTCTTGTCAAATGTTTGGTCCACAGAAGGAAGCAAGAAAGAACAAAAGAAGTGATTTAATGAAAGCCCACCTCTCTTTGCTGTCGAAGCTTCCGCTGCGTAAACGTCTCTTTCTCTTGCGGTTCCACAATCGTCATGGACATGTAGTCCTCTTCTTCGTCGTCCGCAGCATCTTTTGCGCCTTTGGCATCGTTTTCACGTGTTGCCGGCATGTTCTGGCGATTCGGAACCGTTCAACCGCGAACAGAACAGCGCGCTGGATTGCGTTTGCTTCCTGACTGACCGGCCTGGCCAAGCGCGGACGCCGGACAGAGTGTGGCGGATGCCGATCTGCGGGCTAAGATTACCTTAATTCCCCGACGCCAGATCAACTGGGCTAGTTCTTACGCCGGACAACTGCTAACAGCAAGTTAGCAACTACGCGGAGCTCATGACTCGGAGTCATGGGGCGAAAGTCATCATGTCCTCCATACTGTCGACAAATTCTCGTCCTTGGCCGCTTGGCGAGGCTTCATCCGCCCACGTCGTTCGCCAAGCCCAACGAGCTCCACAACTCGGCCCCCTCTGTTCGTTCTATGCTCTCCTTAATTAATCAAGGTCCTCGATGTTGACAACAGTTGAACAGACAGACCTGCAGTCGGCATATTTTCCGCAGTGGAATGTGCCCGGCATGTCGATGATCTGCTGAGCCGTCCACATGAGCGTTGATTGGCCGGTTTTGGATTGATTGGATTCCTGTCCGGCAGCGACGCGCTCCTTGCTTAAGTTGCTTGTTGACTTTTCTACCTTCTTAGCCGTGACCCATCGTTGGGATAATATCCATCCATCAATCATGTCTGTACGAAGCTATCGTCCAGCCGGTATGGCTGACTGCAGAGAGCTGCGCCGGTTATGCGGAATGGCCGCCACGTTCGACGATCTGGCCCCCAAGATCCTCCCTGTTTAGGCCTCCTGCCTCGACATGGGAGCGCCGTTGTCGCTTGTCTTTGCCGGCAAGCCTCAGTTGGCCCTTGTAGCCACCTTCCGAATGACTTCTGATCGTCCTACATTCCCTTTCTCACCCTTGTTCGCCTCTGTATTCGCGCGCTTGTCCCCACATCAGGGCAGTCTCGTGGTCTTGCCCAGATGATCGCGTACTCCTTCGGCTTGCCTCGAACGATGCCTTGTCTCGAGCTTTGCTTCCTTCAATATCCCAAAGGGGCTTCGTTTCCCCCACACAATTCAGGCCGGACACATGCGGCTGAGGATCCTGGCAGTCGGCATGCCTTAAAAGCACACCTTAAAAAGACGGGATGTGCTGTTACTTGAATCGTTTGTCAGGTTTCATCGCGTGTCGTCTTTTCTGAAAGGCGTGATTTCACGATGTTGTCTTTCAGATCTCTTGTTCTGACCTTCTTCTGTCTCTATGTGGTTGCGGCAGACACAGTGGTGAACCTGGGCTATGCCAGCTACCGGGGAACAGCTCTCTCGAATGGGATCTCCCAATGGTTGGGAATGCGTTTTGCTGCACCCCCAGTTGGAAAATTGCGGTTTGCAGCTCCTCAAGATCCCCCTGTTATGAAGGGAATCCAAGATGCCACAAAGGTACAATTACATCTTCTGCTGCTCCGATCCTTTTTTTTTTTGGTACCTGTCTGCTCTGAATGGAAATACGGGACTGACAAACAGCTAGCATGGGCCTGTATGTATTTCTACAGGGAAAAAAACCATCCCTAGTGGACAATCGGAGGACTGCCTCTTCCTGGATGTCTATGCTCCTACCAATGTGAAGAAGTCCACCAAGCTGCCTGTCTTCTTCTGGATTCAGGGAGGGGGATATAATGCCGATTCCAACGCCAACTACAATGGTACCGGTCTGATCGAAGCCTCCGGTATGAATATAGTAGTCGTAACGTTTAATTATCGTGTTGGTCCCTATGGTTTCCTTGCGGGAAAGGAGGTCCAAGAGGGCGGAAGCTTGAACAATGGGCTTAAAGACCAGATAAAAGCGCTTGAATGGGTCCAGAAGTATATTGCACAGGTACTTCCCTTCCTCCTCTAGTCCGAGAAGGAGTTGACTGACCGTTTGTCTGAAGTTTGGCGGCGACCCTGGCCATGTCGTGGTGGGAGGTGACAGTGCTGGAGCCGGCGCAATAACCCTCTTACTGTCTGCTTATGGCGGCGACGGTCAGCTGGGAAACTTATTCCACGCGACAGCCGCGGAGTCCCAGTCGTTTGGGACCGTCCTGACAGTCGAGGAGAGCCAATTTGTTTACGACAATCTGACCGCCCGTACCGGTTGCGCAGATAGTGACGATACATTGGCGTGCCTGCGCAGCCTCGATGTAGCGACGCTGCAGCGGCAGAACTACAACATCCCGTTTCCAGGAGCGGAGATACCACCGCTTTTTATGTATGGGCCGACGATTGACGGAGAACTGGTCCCAGACTACACGGACCGCCTGTTTCAGCAGGGACGTTTTCTGAAAGTGCCCGTTATCTTTGGGGACGACACCAATGAGGGCACGGTCTGGGTCCCAAAGAACACTTCCTCCATCGCAGAAGCCGACACGTTCATCCAGGCCCAGTTTCCCTTCATCAAACCTGACCAGCTGGACCGAATCAATGCCATGTATATGGAGGGGAATAACTCCCAAACAACCACCTACCCTGACTCGGGACCCTACTGGCAAAGCGCGAGTAACGCCTACGGCGAAATGCGTTACATCTGCCCGGGCATCTACGTCTCATCCGTCTTCGCCCGATACCCCGAAACCAGCAACAGCAACTGGAATTACCACTACGCTGTCGAGGACCCTTGGGACGAGAAATGCGGCTACGGGGTAAAACACACCGTCGAGGTCAATGCTATCTGGGGGCCCGAGTACGTCAGCTCTAAAGCTCCGTCATCGTATTTCACGACCAACGCGCCGATCGTTCCTGTCATGCAGGGATACTGGACCAGCTTCATCCGCACGTTTAACCCCAACACATATCGCTACCCCGGCAGTCCGGAATGGAAACCTTGGGGGACCGGTGGTGGTGGTTATAATCGCATTTTCATCCAAACTGGAAATACGTCAATGGAAATTGTGCCCATGGATCAAAGATCTCGATGTGCTTACTTGTCCTCTATTAGTCTGGATCTCAGGCAGTAAGTAGATGAATGCATGGATGGATGGATAGACGAATGGATGAATGGATGAATAGTGTCATGAATAACAATCATGTGAGACCATGCCAAAACTTTTGTGTTGATGATAATTGATACACACCATCGTCTCAACCGGACGACATGTTCTATATACATGATATAACCAAACCATAATAAACAATTTAATTTCAAGTAGTCGAGATCTATTATTTTCATTGTTATCGCTTCCCTTGTCTCCATCTCTTCTCCCTCTCGTAGGCATTTTTCTCTCTCCCTTCTTCCCCCTGGATCTCGGCAATGAGGCGTTTGAACTTCTTCTCGTACTCCGCATCGCGCTCCTTCTTCTCGCGAAGGGCCTCCCGCGCAAGGAAATTGGCGTCCTTGCGAAGCTCCCGCAGGGCGCCCTTGCGTTCGCGCTTGTACTCTGCCTTGAGCTTGTTGATCTCCGCGCGCTCGCGGTTCGGGTCGTAGTGCCGGTCCGGGTTGAAGTCCTCCTCGAACTTGGGGATCGCCGTCTTGATGGCGAGCGGACGGTGGTTATGCAGCAGAAGAGGACGTCGTGCCAGTCGTGCCTGGGAAGAAAGCTTATCGAACTTGTCGAGAGTAGACACGATCTGATCCTCCAACACGGTTGGGACTCGTTTCGCACAGGTACGTCTCAGATGCCCGAGAACGGTTCGGGCCGGTTCGAATATCTCATGGAACGCGGATTTGGCGCTCCATAAATCGGCAGCATAGTCGAGAAGGGAGATAAAGGTCCCAACCAGACTAACTTTGAGCTCCTCCGCGGCCTGTGGGGAGAGATCTTTCGCGAGAACATCCCAGAATTGGGGTTTTCTGAGCGTGGCCCCTGTTGCACCGTTCAGCCGCAGGGATTTCTCGGGTTGTCGCAACAAGACAGGCCCCAAGTTCTCCTTTACCGCCGATGGCGAAAGTATGCACAGCGCGTTCAGGCAATAGTTCATGAATTCCGGCATATATCTCTTCGCAAAGCTTTGGTACTGCACAACCAAAGTGGCAGCGTAGGCCCCGGTAGCTAGGTCAGAGAGATCATTAACAGTACTTTGACCCAGGTATCGAGCAAGAGAGAGGTTTGCCGGCGTCACGACAGCATGGAAGTGGTCTGATGTCGGGAAAATAGTCAGAACCCCAGTCAAGATAACTAGATCTGCCGGTGATAAATTCAATGGTCGTTCGGCAGACATGGTACGGAGGTGAGCTCGGAATGCTTTGGCCACGGCTTCACTGTTGCTTTTTGCCATGGAATGGATATGCCGCAGCAGATTTTCCAATATGGCAAATGGGGCACGCTCTTTCCTATTCGCCAAGTATGCCACATGTTCAACGAGGATGGCAGAGAACCGGGCTAGCTTTGCCTTGTTATCGCTGTGCAAACGAGGGTGATGCAGCGCTCGAATTCTTTGAATGACAAGCGGCAGATCCTGGATTGCAACATCTTTGATGATCTCAAGGAAGTTTTGATGGCTCTCCGGACAAGGGTATGTATACGCCAAGTGGCCATTCGCTGTGTCGGAACGTTCAGCTGGAGCTGAACTTGTTTTAGTGGCGTCGTCAGTTGGCTGAATCAGATCATTGATCATTTCATCATCTTCATCTTCATCCTCATCACCTTCTTCTTCTTCTTGCTCCTGTTCCGACTCCTCGTCCTGCTCTGAAAGGTCTTCATCACTCTGAATAAATGAGGCGCTAGACCTGGACTCCATGTCCACAAGATCTCCGTCAATAATGAAATCGTCCTCGTCCTCGACGCCATGTTCTGGGCGCGTATGAATCCCGTTGGCAGGCTGAGAGAGACCAAAAGCCTTGGCATCGTCCGGTACCGACTCCTCCTCTGACTGATCCCCATCGGCCTCAGCCTCTGAGTCGCTCTCTTCCTCGCCGCGCATTCGCCGAAGACGTTCCTCCTCGAGGGCTTTCAATCGTTCGGCCTCCTCCTTTGCCTTTTCCTCTTCCGTCTTTGTACGATCCGCCGGTTGGGACCGCTTATCAAATGCCATTTGCTTGAGCCGTCGATCATATTCTTTATCTGCGGCATCCTTATCCTTGCCTTGTAAGGGCGCTGCAGGATCAGGTTTCAACGACGCGGAGGGATCCTCCTTCGGGGGCTCCGGCTGAGGCGGTTTGGTACCACGCATCGCCTCAAAAAGATCAGGAAGGCCCTTGTCAAGCTGGTGCCGCAATTCAGCATCGTCTTCCTTAGCCTTCTTTCGCTCGGCTCTGTAGAACTTGGACTTGGCGATGATCTCCTTATAAACCTCCGCCTTTGACTTTTTCCGCTGTGGTTCTTCTTCGTCTTCTCCTTCAGGAGCAAGACCTTCCATATCGTCGCTATCATCATCGGCAGATGCACGTTTCCGCTTGCGATTCTGCTCGCTTTCCGAGAGATCGCTGTCGGATGCTTCAAGATCATCTTCATGGAAGTCGTCTTTTACCGCCTCGTCATCAAAGGAAATGGATTGCCCCTTGTGTGTAAGTTGAACCTCCTCTTCCTCGTCCTCTTCCAGATTGAACATCGACTCCTTCCTGAATTTCCTTTGGCTCTCCCGAGCAAACCGCTCGGCGGCCTTCTCCTCGGGAGTCATGGTCGGGTCATTTTCACCAAATCTGCGATCCAAAATACCACCGACTTTGTTTCGCGAATGTAGCTCCTTGAGAAGCGTTTCACGTCTCTGCCGACAGCAGTCAGAATTTGCATTTGTGCGGAGTCCATCTGGTACACCTTACCCGCTCTTCTCCCAGTGACTTGGTCACAGCCGGTCTCACATAACCCGCAGTTCCAGCTTTTATAGATGGGCCATCCTTAGTTGTCACATCGAACTTGACGCCTTTTACCGGTGCCTTAACATCAAAGGGATTGAAGCGTTCGCGGATTTGTTGTAGAGCTGCAGCGCGCTGGATTCGGGCCTGCGCACTGGCACCGGACTTCGCATTTTGCCGTCGCTTCTTCTTGGACTGCGGAGGCCCAATCAGCCCGCTCTCACGAAGAGAGGCCTTGAGCTGTTTGAGCTGAGAAGGCGCCATCGTTGTGTCTGGAGAACCTGGCAGACGGTGCGGTAGATTTTTGTGATTTTGGTTCTAAAAAATTAGTGCTCACCGCCTCCGCAGGGCAGAAATTCTGCCGGTGTCACGCCGCGCGCCCAAAAGCTTGGACCTTTGCTCGCCGCTAACTCCGCATCTCCGACTCCGACGAAGACACCCCGCAGGCGATGGCAAACATGGAGTCGCTATACAACAATCGCATCCTATGGCTGTGTCTAGGTAGTTGCATTCGTGGGAGGTTCCTTCAAATGGATTGATCTAATTCGTGCAGGGATAACGCTTGGGTATTTTGCGGCGCGTGGGATCGTCGCAGACCTTCACCGGGTCCGCGAGTTGACGGAGATCAAGCATGACGACAATGAGGAACGCATGATAAGTCAGGGCACTGAAGACGGTATGTAGATCTATTGTTTTAAGGAATTTCCTGACATGCGACTGACTCTCGAACGAAGCGCTCAAGCTCGAGACCCTCCAGAAGCTCTCCGAAAGCAGCAACTTTGATCTCCGAGCAGCGTACGATCCATCAAGGAGTATCCGGCATGTGTGACCTGTTCTAATCATTCTCTAGGGCTCTTCGAATTGTGGCCGAACGGTCAACCAAAGGATCTACGCGGGATTTGCTGCTGCGAGATTTGGCAAGCAAGGACAAGGAGCGACGAAACAAGGCTCTTACCGCTATGCACTTTCTGGTTTCCAATCGTGCTCGTATGTCTGACACGGAGATCCTAGTCATCGTATGAAACGATATTAACATCTTCGCCGCAGTCGCGCGATCGGCCGTACCTAGCAGATTAAAAGATCTCCCGACCTACATCGCCCTTGTCGACTGCCTATGCAATTTTCTCGAAGAACATACCGAAGAAACCGGCACAACCGAGTCCCCCATTCTGCCAAAAACGAGACCGCCCGGTGAAAAGAAAGCGTTGAGCACGCTTAATATCATCCTTTCAGAGAATATACCCGCTGCCCTGGAAGCTGGAATCGTCAGTCGGTGGCTCTGTAATTATCCTTTCCCCTGCCTTCGCGAGACGGAACACCACCGCCGTGATGTTGTCTGGCTCATGAAGACCTGGTGGTCTGATGATTCAGTCATGAGCTCGATCATCAACACGCTTATGTCCCACCAGGATGGGATTCGGCAACTACGGAAATATGGCCTAATGGGCAGTATGATGGAAAACGATCATGACGATTACGATGGAGGCAGTGATGTGTGGATGGTCGACGGCGATGACACTGCAGGCTCAAGACGCGTTTCGGGACGGCGCCAACCCGATGAAAATGCAGAGGAGCAGGCCCTCCGGAGGCGAAGAAGAGAGGCCATGGTCTTCAGTGAAGGAGGGCGACCTCTGGACAATGACAACATAATCCAGCCGCCTCCTAGCGAGTGAGGTTAATGGACGTCTTAAGATGGCGTATACGGTTGGTCGATCGACTTGGTTTTCGATGTTTGACTACGACTCCTTGATTATACACATGATACCCCAGTCTGTTGTAATTAGCAGTGAAGTGACATTGATTGGAAGTTAAGTCTTGAATTCAAAGCCCTCTCCAAGCCGATTTGCTCACGTGGTCAATCTTCTTGCGGCTGCCTTTCACCATTCCCAAAGCTTTCAGTTCGGACAACGCTCGATAAAAGAGCATCAATGCCGAACGCTCATCGCATGACTCTCCTTCTTCGCCGCCTGTAATTGTATAGAAGGCCCTCCACAGGTCATAGATATTCACCAGAGACCCAGATTCGAGGTACAACTGATAAAGGATGGCTGTCTCTGGCTGTCGTGCAGAGAGGTGCCCCTCGACTTTGTCGGATGCTGAGATCAAATAGTCGAATGGACTAGACAACGCCCGCTCGATAGCGAAACGGGCTCTTGGCACAAATGTATCCTTGAGAGGCTTCTTCAGGTCAAAGACGAAAATCTCGTTCAGAAACAGTTCCTGTGGGTTAATTAAGTTCTGTGCCAGATATTCATCCAGAGCCTCGTAACACCTCTCAACCAACTTAGTGTACTGGGTGTCTTGCTCCGACAACTGTGTCTGGGTTCTGCTTAGATTGACCCGCTGTTCGAAAATGGTTGTCTTTACGGTGGCGTTCTGGTCATCATACTTGCTTCGCAGCGGTCCCGCTGACCCTTGGGATTTCACAAGGACAGCTAGTTCCTCTTGATACCCTTGAAAATCAGGCACATTTCCTTCGCAACTCTGCAGGGCAGTCAAGAACGTCGAAAGACCTTCCGAGTCCAGTTTTTTCATCGCGACAAGAACGTCTTGGACCATTGATGAATTCCGTAATTCCCCAGCAACCGCCTGAAGGGTGAGCTCTGTAGCGCTGCTCACTCTGGGAAGTTTCAAAACTCGTTGAATAGTCAAAATGGTTTTGACAGTACGAAATAGGCTTCCCATCTTGTACAGGCAGGTTTCCAGATTCTTCATCACCTCATCGAAGAGGAATTTATCGTCACTTAGCAAATTGCGCACGTACTCGGAATTCCCAGCATCGAGCAAACTCTCGCAAAATCTTCCGGGTGTTAGTAGAGATAAAGCCTCTTCCGAACTGCATTGTCTCTTACCTGCGGAAAGAAGGCAAATTCCGAATTGCCTCACACAATTCTGTCTGCTGTAAAGTAGCAGAGATGTCATCTGAGAGAAAGACGCTCAAAGGATTTGCAAAGAAATGCGACATGTACGCATACTAGGCTTATTAGAAAGATGAATTGAAGTATCCTCAGATTACCATACCTTGACTTCTCTAATAAATCCCTCGGGGCTTTGAAAGTAGTCCCTTGCTCTCTCAAAGAAAAAAGAACTCAGGTGCGGGCCGATCCAGAGCTTCACATTCTGGCTTGTCTGCACCGAGTTGTAAATTCGATCGACTGAATCCCCGGCGTCATGGATTTCAAAACATCTGCCTTCCAGCAACGCTACTATGGATCGCGGAAGCCTCCCTTCAAACAACTCGATGGAGGTTGAAATGCCAAACAGCAAAGTGAAAGGTATCCGATCAAGCCAGGAACTGAGAAGCATATTAGTAACAAAGAAGCAAGCGGGAATTTTCATCATACCTAATTAATGAAAGGAGATCATTTAGGACACCTTGGTCGAAGGCCTCGCTATCACGGAAGGCTAAGACCAGTTTCTTAACACCGCGATGTTTGACGTATTCTTGCAATAGGTTCAGATCATATGGGAGAAGTCGAGGTCCCTTAACCTAAGATTAGTCACGATTCCACTTTGTTAAAAGACAAGTATACATACGGTGCTGTCTGTGAAGAGCTTCTGGTAGCCTTCATTGCCTTCTGTATTGGTGACGGCAGTTCTAATGATATTCTTCAGGACTGTCTTCAGGTTGGGCGCGTCTCCAGACTCCAGCAAGACTACTTCGCCTTTCTTTTCCTCAACCAGACGAAGATGAAGCCTGCCAAGGAGCCTGGTCAGGGCGGTTACATTGGATCCAATTGTAACCAAAGCCGTGGGAATACGGCCGCTATATCTAGATTTGAGGTGAGGACGCCTGCAATACAGAATACAGAAAGAGCCTCCACGTACGTTTCAGGGGATGCCGTGTTGATGAAACATGCTATATCCTCCAAGATCCCGGAATCCAGTTCCTGGAGAATAGCCTTGACTAGCAGTCAGTGGAGGTCATCATCAGAATCGTAGCCTACTTATATACCAACCTTGCATCTCTCCTCCTGTTCAAGCCATAACTGCTGGAAGGTCGTTTGCCTCAGCTTCACGAGCTCTGGACTCTCCTTTCCATTGAGGAGTGGTAAAAATGTCAATGAGTCATCAGTCAGCTGTGAACTGTTCTTTGAAGTCTTGCGTCTCTTGGAAGACCGCTCTTCCTGATCCGCCGCCGGCGGCTGGTAGATATACACCCCCTTTGGTTCCTGTCAGCGTCCGAGAGGCGTAGAAGACAGAGCGGGGACTCATTCTCTGTACCAGGTTATCTATCCCATTCTTTACCTGCTGCGGACGATCATCGTCGTCCAGCTCCATTGTGCAATCGCAGATATATACTTCAAGAGTAGCTGGCGCAGGGTGTAAATAGGCTCGTCCATTGTCGTTTGGTCGCGTTTAGTGGCGATCCGCGGCCGCGGATGCTAACCCGAAAAGGGCTTCCTCCTGCAGCATCGACTCGTTTTGCAGGAGCAATGCCCTCTCGCTATCTCGCCGTTCTGTGCCCATGACGTGAAACTGTTTTCTTCATGCTCCGTCCGATTTTCCAGGGAGCTCAGTGGTATCAGCATGCGGCTTGCGCAAGCCATTTCTCCTGCGCCTCGAAACCGCCGTTGCGCCGTCCATTCTCCGTCATAGCATCGCGCCTCGTCGATTATGGCGACCCCAACGACAAAGTCCGCTTTTTCGAGCAAGACACCCGGGGAAGCAGGCGGAGAATTGAGGTTGACCCGGATGCCGAGGGACGTGCTGAACAGGAGGAAATGAAAGGCCATCTTGCGTCACTAGACCGAGAGTTGGAAATTTTGAGACAGGGACCGTATAGTCCGAACAGTCCGTTTATGAAACAGCTCCCGGAAAAGGACAGGGCCATTGCACTCGAGGCTCTTCGGAAATATGAAGCTGAACATGGCAAAGACGACGAAAAAATTGGATTTGAAGAAATCTTTGACAAGGAACTGGACGATATGCTTAGAGAGGAGTTTGAGGGTCTAGCCAGGGAGGAGGAGGAAGATTGGGACCCGACGAAGCCTATCGCAGAGCCAGAGCGTGTCCCCGCGAAGAGAAGATTTGAAGGGAATTTGAAGGATGCGCCAGCGCACCCTTACGTGGATCGATTCAATGAATGTCTTTCGAGAGTCGTCGACGACTCGAATACTTCCACCAGACACGAGCTTTGGAAATGGTATCGACGTTGCAAGCAAACGGTTCCATCTTTCCTTCAATCTATAACAGAAGAGTCCGCACACATCCTCTGGGACTCTCAGTTCCGGGATGAAGTCTCTCCTTCCACTCGCCTGTCTCATCTACGGACTCTTGTTGAGGATATGCGGTCGGTGGGTAGGACGCCATCCACAACTGAGATGCTCATGTACATCGAAGCACTATACGAGGGAGGAGCAACGGCGGAGGCGTTGGATGTGTGGGAGGCGCAACAGGCCGCTATCAGTCAAGGACAGGGAGATGTGGATGCCTACTGGAAGCTAGGAGTCCGACTCTTTGCTGCCCAGGGAGACCCTCAGAGGGCCCAGGATATTGCGTTTGCCTTTCTTCTCAACGATAAATCCCGTCATCCTCGTATCTTGATTCCAGTGATCATAGCATGGGCCAGAGAATCTGAAAAGGCTGCGGCGGCCAAAGCCTGGACTCTGTATCTCCAGCTCAAAACGCTTCTGGGCCCTGACATGACGATGAAGGATTACGATTCGATCAGCATCGGTCTTTTAAAGGCTGGCAAAGTTGATCTCGCCGTAGCAGTTTTCAAGGATATGATGGTTACGGGGAAGGATCCCTCGAACGACTCTACAGCACTCTACAAGGCGTCCCTTGGTCTCGCGGGGAATCTTCAAGCTTCCAGCATTAGTGAACATGACGTGAACAAGGTATCACTGTCGGCTTTGACGATCTTACCACGGCAGTTTCAAAACAAATTCTTCTATGCCAGCTGGATGAAGAAGCTCATTGGAATGGGGGAAATTGACTCAGCCGCAGCAGTGGTGGAATTGATGTATGAACGTGGGGTAAAACCAGATGCAAAGCATCTCAATGGCATAATCGGCGCTTGGCTTCGACAGGGAAGCGCTACCGCCAGAGATCAAGCTGAAAGGCTAGGTTGGGCCATGGTTAAGCAACGTATCGACTTGGTTTGGCAGAAGGAATTTTCAAATGCCTCCTCCGACGCCCCTTCAAAGCCGTCTGTTCCTGATGATTCAGATGGCGTTCGCATTCCGAAGTTCATGCAGAGGACACTGCCTCAAGCGAATATAGAGACATTCTCTATTCTCCTTCTCCATTATACTCGCCGAGGTGATGATGACATGGTGAAATACCTAATCAAGTGCCTGAATGATGCCCGGATCAGACCAAATTCATATTTCATGAATCATCTTCTTTACGCCGAGCTGCGGAAGCATGATATACACGCTTTGTGGCAGAAATACAATGCTATGAAAGTCTCCGTCCAACCTGATCTCGAGACCTTTGCTTGCCTCTGGGACTGTGGCAAGCTTCAGTACGATCCTTCCAGAAGGGCGTTTGATGCGAGTTTTCCATCTGCTCGAGGTCTCTTTTCTGAAATGATGCAGTGGTATTCCAAGCTCACACCGCGCGGCAAAAGGACTGCCCAGGAAGAGTTTTCGAAAGATATGTATGACCAGATCACGCGCTGCTTCTGTCTTTCGAAGGACCTTGCCGGTACACTTGTCGCACTGTACGCGATGAGGGATATGTTCGGGTTTTTCCCGGACGATGACACCGCGCGCATGCTGGTACTACAAGTGGCACGGATGGCTGGCGTTCCTCCGGGCACACCCAAGCAGAGACTGCGCAGGCTGTCCACCATGCCCAGGGCTAAAGAGAACATAGCGGAGGTCAACAAGCTACTAGAGCTGTTAAGCGAGCGGAAGGCATCGATGCTGGAAGCTCAAGGCTTGCGTGTCGAGCAACTGGACGACGAGGAACGGAAACAGTATCAACTCGAAATCATGGCCGATCTGCTCGGATCCGTGATCGAACGCACAACGTCGAGTCCGGAGGAAATGAGAGATCAGATCACGACTGCCACGAGGGACATGGGCGTCGAAGGTATCGATCTAGGCCCGTATTCTCAAGGAAAGGAAATCACACATAATCTATAGCTTCGTGGGGGGGCAGGGTCCACCTTATTTGTTCTTCTATCTTCCTTCAAATGTATAATATACTGAATGAACAGAGCACTTTATTGTACTGCACTGTATTGTATCTTTTCTGTTAGGAAACCATTGTCATGAAACTGATAGATTTCCAATTGAGTCATAAAAGACAAAGGGAAGTCATTGTTTGGCAACCTGTAATTATCTATGTATACAAAGCAAGGCCTGATTCATCCTTTAAAGTCGCATAGGAAACTGTCCTTTGGTTAGAATTAAAACCATGGTATATTAGTACAGAGAAAACAAACATACAACTACATCGAACATTTGACCAAATCGACATCTAATGCCAGTTTTTCCCAAACACAAAAAACGTATAATAACCAGATACTCATACCATCTCAAGTCTTTTTGCACCGAAAATGTATCAAATCTAATAGAGCCTGTGATCAGCATTATTACTGGTAGCACCGCATGTTTCTCATTTCTTCCCCTTCTTCTTCTTTTTTCCACTGGGGCTGCTGGTCTCAGTCCCGGTCACCGCCGGGCCACCAGCTTCAACCAAGACCGCATCATCGTCACTACCGGCAGTCGTCGAAGATTGCGTTGTCGTCTTCTTCGAGCTTTCTTCGTTCTCCAGCTCTTTCATGAACCCTTCTTGAATGCTGGCCTTCTTGCGATCCCACCATTCTCGCTCTTCTCCCACCTTGGACTGGTATTCTTCAATGCGCTGACGGAAAACGATGTTACTGTCCATCTCTCTAGCAGATTGGAAGATGGTCTGGCCCCAGTTAGGGACATAGGCATTAGCCTAAAGATCATGATAATCAGCAAAGCTTCCGGCATGAACACGCGCGAAACCGGCGACTGGCAGAAAGCTAACCTCTTGAACGACATCACGGACTTCAGCCTCCATCTCCTTCTCTGCTCGTAAGAATCGCTGCCACAAGTCATCACCCACACTACCCCGTTGTAACAGCAACGCTAGTGCCTGCTTCTGATCTCGGATCGCCATTATACGGTTTATGTCCTCCGTCGCACGCCGCAAAAGTGCAGCCTTCAGCACTGTCTCCGGAACAGCAGGCGCCTTTTTCTCCTTGCCGGATGACTGAGGCTGATCAAGATGCAAAAGGGAATAGTATATGTCTCTCTGGAGGTGAGAGGGAAACCATGGTTCCAGGGACGCTGCCTTAGCTGTACGCGGTCTTGCGTTAGTAATTCAAAACATTCAACAACCCCCCAGAGGTAGAGCACGTACCAGCTTTTCGCTTCCGGTATAGGGACGAGAAGGTTGCCAGAGATCCGATAAGGATGCTCAGATAGGCGAATGGCACGGCAAGACTGAACCAGTCCACCATGTCGAATTTTGTACGCGTGGCTAAAGAGAGGAATTAATCGTCCGATCAAACAAGGACCGAATCAGGGAGTGAAACTGAAAGCCGAAAAACTGCCAGTCGCATCGACAAATAAATATCCTAAAGAGGAGGGAAAGAAGACAAGGAAAGGCAAAAAATAGAAGAATTGGCAGGCAGGCTACAACCGGGGTTTGTTCAGGGAAAGCAACATAGCTCGATATGCTAGCCACGGACTTATCTCACTATCGGGAAAGGACAGGCTGGTGTTAAGCAGTGCCAATGCGCACCCGCATACTTTCCAGGATTGGCGCTTGGCAATGCTTACACTTCGTAGCGCATCCACAACACCAAGATATTGTGAAATCAGTTAACCCGACCATACTATCTTTTTTAATATTATTGTCTCTGGCTTCTAAAAAAAGAACAGCTATTGGAAATTGAAATAAGAGAAATACGGGAAAGTGACCTCTTTGAATTAGCTATTCATTCACTGTCTAGAAATTCCCGCTTTCTACATCTCATGCATGGATACAGAGAATTCAAGAACAATGACAAATAATATGCTTGCTGAACTCAAAAGAAAAGATGCCAAGGAAGATCTGGGTAATAACACAACCGCCAGAAACACAAACACAAACAAACACTCAAGCCATCCGTTCTAAAACCATGATATGCACTGGCTCCGGATATACAAAAAAAGAAAGAAGTAAGACGTAACAATCAATTGTCACAGGCACCCATCTACTGCATTTGGAGCCGTGATGTGCCCAACTGCCGGGGGCCCAGCTGCTCCTTGGTCTTCTGGCTCATGGACGCAATCTCCTGGTTGTTCAGCATATCTTCCAACACCTCATTGAATGTATCCTTGATAGCACTTGCGACCTTGGTCCTATCCCACTCTCCTCGCATCTTCCACAGGCAATCCATCAATTGGCTATTAATCTGCTCCAACTGTTCCACCGAACAGCCGCTTGTCTGTTGCGTTAACTGCTGGTGAAGCTGTTCCACATATCGATTATCAATGACAAGCTTTGGAGCTGCTTCTTCGTTATTAAGGAGTGACTGGATATTGGAGTACTGGTGCGACTGTTGTCTGCTAGGATCCCCGAAACGTGGCACTGGAGGCTGTTGCGATGCATGCTGGAAATGTGACTTTTGCTGCGACTGGCTTCCATTCGGAACGCTTCCTTGGGAATAGGTCAAATCTAAGCCATTTGTTAGTATGGCGCCTGAGACATTCGACAGGCTTGACATGTTACTCACCTTGCTGGGTGTCCGGAAGATGTTCCTCCTGAGATATGCGGTCAGGATACGAGGTAAGATCTGGATATTCGGTCCGCGGGCCACTGCCAGCCGCTGGACTCTGTGTGTAAAGCTGGGGTCCAGTGGATTGGTCCGACGTCTTCTTGTCGGAGGTGGTCTGCGTGGTGGAAGCATCGTTCGCATAGTCGCCCGGTTGAGATCCAGGTGCCATCGGAGTCATGGGCCCCTTTTGAGACAAACTGGAGAGGCCTGATTCTCTCCGGATCTGTTGGGAAGGGGCAGTATGAGAAAGCGGCGGCTTAGGCTGAGCGGACGGACCAAATGAACTGTTCGCTGTCTCCCGCCCCCTGTAGTCCACATCATCCGAATTGGTCATGTATGTATCGCCATCTCCATCTCCTCGAGAAGGGTGTGAGTCATTGCTAGTTGGGACATGAACCCCGCCCTCGTTGAGATCGGAACCGCCACCAGGACCGTGATATCCGTTGGTCATGAAACTAACGCTGGATGGGCGCGATGGAGTGGTGGGCCGCGCAGCCTGGTTTGACGGACCGTTGGAAAGGGGCTGGCCCAAGACGACAGGACCCGAAGAGACGCTGGATTCCGTATTTCCATGTGGCACGTTGGAAGGCGGTGGTGCCATAGAGTTATCGCCTTCTGCTGCCTTCTTCGCTTTCTCCATTGCGAGCCTTTCTCGCTCAAGTTCTCGCTGGTAGACATTCTCGCATTCAGCAACCAAGGCAGGATCGGTTTGCTCGATAGTGGCAATATCGACTTCAACGTTTGACAACAGTTCATTTGCTCGTAAAATTCGTTCCTGATCTCCAAGCTGGCGGGCATCTTTGGCCAACCGTTTGATGTCGGCAAGGAAGTCTTTCGGTCGCTTGTAGTATCCATTGGAAAGACGCTTCTCAATGGTCACGATCTCTAAATTGTAGTAGAATTTTCCAGACACAACTTCCCGCAAACCAGGGACTCCATGCTTGTCGTAATCCTTCTCGAAAGGACGGAAGGTCGTCCTCTGCTCTACCGGCAGATCGCTCGTTACAATTTGAGGATCGTCCTCCTCAAACAGATAGCGAATCTGGGATTCGTCAATCACACCGGTTCTGAACCTTTTGTACTTCTTGATCTGATCCATGATAGGTTGGATCCTGATCTTCAGGAGATTCAGCGTCTGGCGGTCTTTCTTCTTTTGAGCTTTCAATTGCTCCTTGGTTGGCGGCGTCGGAGGTTTCGGCGGCGGAGGCGGTGCGACCTCTAACGGCTCCAGCTTTCTTCTCTTGCGGTTGTCCGGGTCAGGGAAATCGGCTGGTGATGTCTTGACGTATTCAATTAATTTCCCAAAAAACTCATAACGCGCCGAGTGGTCCGGAGGCGTCAGAACGTAAAGGTTCTTCTTGGAATAACCGAAGAGCGATTTCAACATTCCTGCATCAACCTCTTCATCATCTTCTTCGAGAACACCAAGAAGCAAGACTGGCTCCGTCGGCGGAATGGAACGAAGCAGACCAAGGAACGTCGAGATCACGGTCTGCCCAACGGTATTGTACCAAGTTTGGACATTGGGGATATAGATAACGCTCGGCTTATGCCGCTTGACCTCAGCGAAAAGCTGGACAACGGCGGCTTCCGGAGACCTCGTAGAATCACTTAGGAGCGTTGCGAGATCGAAGGACTGTACATGAAGCCCTTCAAAATGGTGCAAAACAGCCGCAGCTAGGTACTGTTGACCCATGCCTTGCAACCCTCGGATGAGCAGTCGAGGTCGGAATACTCGTGATGTATCGAACTCTTGCTGCATCTGTTCCCTTCTGAAGCTACCGCCGCCCTCTGGCTCTTCAAACTGAGCCTCCTCCAACGCGGTTAGTTGCTTCCGCAGTGGTAGAATATCAGAGAGGATCTTCTTTATCTCGGTGAGAGGGTGACGTAGCAACGGTTCCACTGTTTTCGGCAACGGTGACGCTCCAGAAGATGTCGATCTCTCCGAGGAAGGCACCATCTTTTTAAGCGACATCATGAAGTCTTTCGGCGTGACTTCGATCGTCTTCGGGTCGATCAGCAACTTTTGACTAGACTGGTAGATTTGGGGATACCGCCGTTGCACCGCGTTGAGGGCAGCCTCGGTGCAGAGAGCGCGCAAATCTGCACCTCCATAGCCCTTCGTCAACTCTGCTAGCTCATCCTTGACGTGGTCAGGGAGTGGTGGATCCCAGCCTCGAGTGTGGATGTCCAAGATGGCACGTCGACCCTCCTTGTTCGGAAGGGGAAAGTAGAATTCACGGTCAAAACGGCCAGGTCGACGAAGGGCAGGATCAATGGAGTCTGGCCGATTTGTTGCACCAATTACAACCACTTGGCCTCGTCCATCCATACCATCCATGAGAGCCAACAGAGTCGACACAATAGAGGCGTGGATTTGCTCTTGTTTGCTCGATCTCACAGGCGCGAGTCCTGTTTTCCAGTCAGCATGGTAACGTTGGGAACACCTGTGCCAGGAAGCTCACCATCGATCTCATCGAAAAAGATAATACTCGGTTGCGTCCTACGAGCCTCTTCAAAAAGCAGACGAAGTTGTCTCTCAGCCTCCCCGACCCACTTGCTCAGCGCGTCGGCGCCCTTTCTCATGTAGAAGGTGACCTTGCGACCTTCCGAGCTCACGCTGTTTGCCAAAGCACGAGCCATCAACGTCTTACCTGTTCCCGGAGGTCCATGGAAGAGAACTCCTCTGGGGGGAACGATGTGGAACTTTTGGAAGATCTCCGGGTACAGTAGTGGAAGGGAAACCATCTCTTTCAGTTGGTCAATGTGTCCTTGCAATCCACCAACACTGTCAAAATTGACATTAGGGTCGATTCCAAGGGGGTCAGAATCAGCTAGAGCTTGTTTATCTTTGATTTTGCCAAAATTTGCCGGAGTTCCCGAAAGACCTTGGGCAGCAGCATCAGCGCCGTGAGTCTGGGCCGGGGTCACCAAGCTCGGTCCTCCGGGACCCTGAGTCGAAGGCATTCCAGCACCAACAGGGCCTCTTTGCATAGTCTCATCATCGCTGCTGTCGCTGTCCACACCGGCAGTCGCCCCGGGCACGCCACCAGGCGGACCCAAAACAGCTGCTGTTCCAGCCCCGCCGAACGGCCCCAAAGTCGAGAACAACGTTCGCTGGTAACCGCCACCTCCGCCGCCTCGACCACGGCGTGAAGGAGATTCGGCGGGCTCGTTCTCTGCTTCCTCGATTGGGAGCGCAAGATCGGGACGAATAAGGCGGTAATCGACGTCCTTCCGGCTACGGCGAGGCTTGTTTTCATAGATAATCTCCGGTTGTGCTCGGCGTCGAGGTCGATCGCCTTTCAAATCTTCAAGCTCCTCGGCCAATTCTTCGGCGATGTCCACGGCCGCCTCGGAATCTCCACGTCCACGCGATTGGGATTTCCTCTTACGGAGACCGGGACGTCTCCCGTGACTGCTCTCGTCATCATCATCACCGGCCTCTCCCTTACGAGGTGACACATTCGACCGCACCGAATCAGAGAAGTCATCATCGTCCGTCTCATCTTCGGTCGGCTCAAAGTCACTTTCGTCTTGTTGCTTGCGCTGAGAGGATCTCGCGGGTCTTTTGCGAGTGGAACGAGGGGTTCGTGAAACTTCCTCTTGCTGCTCTGCTTCCTCAGCGGGCGCTTGCCGACCAGGTCGATTCCTTCTCCTCGTAGTTGGGCCTTCATCATCGTCATCTTCTTCTTCCCCCTTCGCCTCACCGTGCTCGGACTCTGGGACAACACCGTCATCTTCCATCTCGACCTCGGCATTGTTCCCGTCTGTTTTCTCAGCGGCGGGCAGGCCCTCCTCGAAATCCCCTTGAGGATCGCTTTCTAGTATCTCCACTTGAGAGCCCTTGACTTCTGCAACATCGTCTTCCTGTTGTCCCTCCTCGTCTGGCTTGGCTTGGGCGGAGCTATCTTCTTCTTCTTCAATTGTACTCTTCGCGTGGACAGTTTTAGAGCCGCGTCGCAGTCGATGTAACTGTGGTTCTGGGCTGCGCGTGCCTCGCTCAACGGTTTCCACATGACGTCCAGAATTCGTAAGCGCGTACATATCCTCAGATCGATCACGGGTATGCCGAGTGATGCGCCGGGTAGGTTGTTGTGGGACATCAGGAGCTTGACGCTTCAATTTGCTGATCTTCAGAGTAATCACATTGCTCGCTTTGCTCCGGGTTGGGGGCTTCGCCTTCTCCCGGTCATCTTCTTCCGCCTCGTGTTCCTCTACCTCATTGTCCTCTTCGCTAGAATCTTCTTCCTTGTAAACCGGCCGGTTCCGGACAGCTTTCCTCAGCGCAATTCCTCTCGCATTCTTCTCCACATTTTCATCCTCCTCTTCTGATTCTGGCAACGACAGTTCATCAACCTCACTCAAGATGTCGTCAGAATCCAAATCATCGTCGGAATCTCGACGCCTTCTCTTCTTCACGGGCTTCGTCTTCTTCTTTTTCTTCTTGGATCTTGTCGCCGAATTCCGAGACGAGCGCACAGGATGGTCGCTGTAATCAATGTCATCGGAGTCGGATTTATTGGCAATCTCCTCTATCGTGCGTTTGCTGGCTGACCGCGCCATGATGGGCTTTCGGTGTGGAGTCCTTTTCAAGATCGCCATAGTCAGAATGTGCGAGGGAAGAAGATGAGAAATGAATGTAACTAAAGGAGAGAAGAGGGGAAAGTGTGGACTGCAAGGAACACAAGGCGTGCGTTTTAACTTACAGTACCAAAGGAAAATGATGGCAGCCACTTCAGACTCTAACACACAATCCCACCTATGATACAAGACAACAGAGAGGACGCATGAGTCGGGAATGCAACTCGACTCCGTAGCAACTCAAACAACCGCCGTCGCGATGACCTTTTGAAGGAAAGGCCAAGCGCGATGCGCCGACACGGCCGCGCCTAAGGGGACAGATCGCTAAGTACGGCGACACCCAGCCAAGTCGTGACCGCGATTGTCCAAGGCAAACGATGGCGATAAGATGCAGACAAGCTTTGCCGTCGGACAGCTCTGTACAGAGCAACGACGTGCACGAGTCGCCTATGTCCGGAAAGCGGGCACCAGCGCAGGGCGGCTGGAGGAGCTTAGGGGAGCGAGCGAGACTATCTGCCCCCAGCCACAGCGCGCCTCCCGACAACAGCGCTGCCGCGGCTGCCCAGCCACAACTATACCCCGATGGGGCTAGGGCGCAGCGCTTGCCTTGATCAGGTGCGCCCAGACACGTGTGACGCCGCACCACTGCAATGACTCGCCACAAGCTCATTGCTTCGCAGCGCTTTTGAGATCGTTTT